TCCGCTCCGCGTTCCACATGGCAAGCCCGTTGCCGCCGTGAGTGCGTCGCACAGTCAAGCGACGACGATCAGCCCGCTTCGCTTGCCGTGCATCGCCGCCGGTCCTCGAAGGCAGTCGTTTCGCGGCCGACTTCGCAGGCAGGAACTCGACTTCAGCGCAGCGTAATACCACACGTCGCCGCACCGCGCCGAGTCAGTCAATCAACAAGCAATTGGAAACTCAGCGAAATTGCCTGCAGCTGAAGCGGATATTTCACTGATTGCTCCCGCTGCGTGCTTGGCATGTGACGTCGTCGCGTGCGGTTGCAGGTGCTGCTGCATTAGCTACCGACTAGCCGCTGGCGCTGGCGGAAGGAATGTGGAAATGACATCTGCACCGGTCGCAGGCTCAAAGGTGGCAAATGTGACATTTGTAGTCATCGCAGTCGACGCGCGGTGTTGAACGCTGTACACTGATATGTACACATACACGAAGACGTGCGTATTACCAATATCAACTCAGAGAGCACTCAGCCAAGCACAAATCTTGTCAGAGCAAAGGGCTTATTTCAAGAGTTAAAGGCGAACTAAACTAATGCAACAGCCCCAAATGTGTAGATTTGCATATTTATTTCTGCCCTTATGCTTAAACCACTGCAACCTGTGTGAGATTAATGCAAATTAGCTTTGCTTTACGGCTGAATGCAGCGTCAACTCGAGCGTTAAATCGTCAATGCTTCCTTAAATATAGCCAGGCTTCGGACATTCTACGCAGCGGGTAAATTTAGTTCGTAGCCTCCAGGCCCCTTTTAGTTATTATTTAGGAAACCTTCGTCTTAATGCACACGAGCACGCAAATGCCACTCGTATTAGTGACATTTTATGTTGCTCATACGCACGGCCGGCCCACAGCTCCCCCTAAAATATAAACATCCATGATTGGAACGCATAGAATTATTGCAACTTGAAGACTGGCTCACATGAGCCTGCGGCCTTATAGGTTTCCGCACAAGCGTTAAATCTCCCGAAAGTCCCCACTTTTTAAGCTAAATATATCAAGCAGATAAGTCAATAATCACAAAAATCGTTAGATTAGCAGGATAATAGTGAAAAGAATTCTGAATTCGACTTCTGTGAATACAAGTGGCGCTCCTTTGGAGCAATAGCTATTAGCCAACAATAAATATATCCATTGCAAATTGTCATCAAAACAAATCGATATTTGTAAATAACCAGTAAAGCGCAAATACGCGCGTGTCTTTTTAAATTAAATTTAGGGGATTATGAAAAACTTCAATTGCTTTTAGTTAAACATTCAATCATAACTAAATTGAATGATTGCCCGAATTTTCATTTACATAATGGCTTTAATCCTACGAGTGTGTACATACATACATGAATGATGTATGCGAGTGTAGATGTGTGTGCATATTTACCGATTTGCTGCTGAAAAAGTGCGCATCTATTTAATTTTATTATTATTCATATAAATTGTAGTCATATTGCACTACAACAAAAAGCAGAAAAATCAGCGAATACACACACACACACACGCCCATACAAAGTGACAAGAAAGGTGATTTAAATGCGATAAAATTCATTTCGAAAATATTCCTGTGAAAAGCTGGTGCAAATCGTTTTTTCCCACGACTAAACTCCCACCTTTCACTCGCAGGAGCGGTCGGGCGGCCAATGGCATCGGATATCCAATAGATAACAACAATAAATGCAACAATTAAAACGACACCGACAGTGAACATGAATCAACGATAAATTTCATGACACTTTTATACAACGTTAATTTGCAGCCTTTCGTTCGACTTTTTTCGGTCACTTTTGCTTTTGTTTCGCGTTTTTATCGTCGTTTCGGTGAGCGTTGTATTCGTATCACTCGCCGGTTGAACGACCAAACGCCGTATCTATTTTTACGCGATTGCATTTTTGCCCAGATTATTTCTACAGATGGAGGCCGAAGGCAGCAATATTGTTGGATTTGTTGGCTGCATCGAGCTAAAAATACTAAAGCTTAGTGCGATTCCAGTCGCGGATTATCGCGACATTTATTTCTAAATTTGTGAACGCAGGCAGCTATGTCCGGCCACACAGCTATTTCCAGTCCACATCTACATATGGTCCATGCCCATGTGTGGGTGTGTGAGTTATTTAAACTTATGTGGTATTAAAGCTATAGAGAAATGTAGGTTATGCTGGTTATTTCATAATTAATGTGCTTTAAAGGGAAGGTAAGAGTCAGCAAATTGAATAAATCAGAAACATAAAGCAGAAATATGCGAAATACCGTTTCAACAATGGCGCACTTCACACACACAGTCTTGTGTGTTTATTTCAATTTTCCACTGGGGAGTAAATTCGTTTTGTAAACAATTAATAACATGTATGTAATTACGTTCAGATGGCGACAAATTTATGACAATTACGGTTTACGCAAGACCGCTTCGTCCACGCCCACGAGCACCGCAGAATGCGCATACAAACCTATACTTACATATGTATGTATATGTGAGAGCCATTTTTATGCATTATAAAAATATGACAACTATCTTCAACGGCTGGCAACGACGGCTGATTGTAGCGATGATAAGCGGTGTGGCCGACGGTGGCCACTGTGCAATTAACCGCAAAATGCATTGAAATTAACCTCAATTCCATGGATGCGCAATTAATCCAATTTGTTTACGATCGGCCACAGCCATGATTCGCACACACACGGACGGACAATTGCAACCAAGCCTTTATAGAAAAAATTAAACTGAATTTCTCTTTATCCCCACATCTCGCTTCTAATTGCAAGTAATACGTACGCGCCTATCTGCATAAGAAGCTGCTTCCCAGTTGTCATTTGCAGAGGCCCCCACGAGCAAAGCGTTTCCCCATAGCCTTCTAAGTACGACAGATCTTGATTTCTGTGTGTTTTATAAAAATCACGGTGTGGCCGTTATGTGCCCTAACGAAGGGATATCTCAAAGTACAGATTTCCTCAAAGGAAAGCTAGAAATACTTTTGAAAGCTTCATCATCTGTGTTATTCTTCGGTGCATCTACATATCTGATATTCAAATTTCTCTACATAAATACCTCTGCGCTATACCTTCTATACAAAATAAAAAGCCTTGGTTGAAAACTCGAACCTTTATAAATGAGTTAACTGAAAATCTTTCGATTTCGTTAGCATTTAGAGTTGAGACTTATGACATCAGTTTCCCACTTTCAAGTTAAATGATTTTTAAATGCTGAAAGCCAAAGCGAAAAAGGACAAAACAACTTCTATCGATTTCCAACACCACTTCACTTTGCTTTTCTTATAGCACAGTCGACTCGTTTTGTACAAAAAGCTTTGAGATTGGCATAAAATATTAATAGAAAACGAAATTCAAACCCACTATTTTTGTACTTCCGCTTCCGTTCATCTATTCTCAAGGTTCTGTAAGCTTTGCTATAATTACTTGTAATGAACGATGGTTACTAAGTCTTAAGCTTTTTATGAACGGCAACTTCTAAAGCTCAAAAGTTTAACCTTTTTCGGTCGTTAAAAGAGGATATTAACAATAGGTTTCTCCAGAGTAATATTTGTGCAATATATTGACACATAGGACATTTCCAAGTCAACTTCCTTGCTAACGCTCAAATGCAAAAATTGTTTAATTAATTTTCGTAATGAGATTGAACAGCCTAGTTCAATAGGAATTCAACCGCATCAAATTTTAAGGTCTTGCAGATGGAACCACCTCAAAAAATTTTTCATTTTAAATATAAATACTTACATTTTTTCTAAGCTTTCATTATGTTCGCTCATCCAAGGGTTGTTAGTTTATTCAACCCAAATCTCTTGACTTTTCCTGGTATGACAGTAAGCATTCACAGAAAGCGACTTTACAGTTATGCAATGTGCTCAATCCTCACCAAGTACTGTCTCTTTTACTTTAAGCCGATATAAAGTATATCCATATTTAAAAAAAAAAGAAACGCTCGTGATTGCTGTCAATTAATTTTTCAACGCTCTCTATATGGATGCACCAAAGCCATGTCGCTAAACCCTTATGCATAGATATTCCCATACCTTCTAAAGGCCGTCGAACACACAATATTTGTAATAGCTTGATAAAAATAAACAAATACGGTTAATACGTAGCTCAACCACTTCATTTGATGATCATCTGCTATTTTGCCAAGCATAGTTTGCAGAGATGGAGTGGCATGATGACCACGGCCTCCTTTATCTGAAATGAACCCGTACATCACCGTAAGGAATGCTCGTAAATTTAACCGAAATGTTGGAAACATGCTTTCAGGCTTAAGAGTACAATTAAATATTAACCCAAAACTCCAGATGTAACCGTGAACCCAAAGCCATTTCGATATGTTTTCCAAAAGATAAACCAATTTAATGACGGCAGTCGGAATATAGAATCACGCTTCTAGTAACCCAATGGATTGTTAAAAAAGAAATGCTTTGTCAGGGAAGCGGATAGCAAAAGAAAACCCCCATTGGAAATTTTCAATGAAGTCCTATAAAAAATATTGTTTTATCAGAACTTTATGATCAACCAACATAATCGACTGACTTCACAACCAATATAAAACTGAGTTTGATAATGCAAGTAACTACAATTGCGCCTCAATTATAATATTATGGCGCGCAGAACACTCATATATAGGTTAGTGAACACATCTACACACACAAGTTTATACTTGTAAGTTGATTTTGCCATAAATTCTTCATGGGACGTAAGCGAATGCAGGAACCGCTCTTTGGAAAAACTTTTAACAGCGTTCATTTCCATCCAAAGGTTTAGTGTTATGAAGAGAGTTGTGAAGAGAAAATATTTACAACAAATTCGACCAGTTGCACCAATGAACAGAGCGGACATGCGCAGATCCCTATTTTCCACAGTTCATTATGGCAAGTGAATCGTCATATTCTCGAGTTATGGATAAGCTAAATTATTTTTTAACAATAAAAAATAGTTAATTTCTGAGTTCCACAATAAAAAACAGCTCTTCTTTCTTCAACGGTTTTCTGACAATAAATTCCAAATAATATATTGTACATATATCTAAAAATTCTTGAAAGAACCAACCTATTCACAAACCGATATCTGTGAATTCCGGGTATATATGATGGCCCTACCAGCAAAGTAGCTCTATAAGTAATATTGTTTCCCTTGAGTGCCTTTCCGGCATACCTGAAATAGAAGAATAAAACACAATTAGAATCTTAAAAAGTGAAAACAAAACAAAACAAGACAAGTCGTAAAATAAAAAAGCAGCAAATAGTACTGCGTTCATTGGTAAGCGGCGGGATTAGGCGGTGGCTGGGAGAACAATGCGCAACACTTGCGCTTCAAATATTTTCGTCTTTTAATTTCGCACTATAGTCCATTTTGCCGGCGCGGATTATGGCCACTTCATATTCACAACTGCCACTAACAAGTCAACTGTAATGTGAAAACGCACCGGCTACAACAACAACAGCAATGGCACAAGTACAAACAGTAATAGCAAGGGAAAAAATAACTGTGTTACAAAACAGAAAAAAAAAACAAATGACGCCTTTCATGACAAAAGGTAAAAAGCACATCAGACGAAAAGAAGTCCCATAAAAGAAAAATTCGAGCAAAAGATTTCCCAATAATGCAAGTGACTTTAAAACCCTCTTAGAGAAAAACCATAAACCAGTGGTATTTGTTGGTTATTCGATCATTCGGCCCAGTTTGAGTGGATTTAATATGCATTTTTTTCCTTAGGGCTTTAAATCGTTATGTGGCCTTAGTAGGTCGATCTTCAATCTATGCTATATATTTTTAATCTGATGACACCCTGAATCGAGTTAATAGAGACCGCTTACAGTTTAAGGTACGCTTTGTGCCAATGGGCAAATACCTTACCTGTTTTTGAGCTAATCGAATTGGTTACCGCCGTTTTCAAAGTCAACCTCATCGTTAAGCCACCGGCCGACCAACACTTTCCGAGAGCATGGTCCAAATGCTCACAATAATGTAACAACTTAATTTCGCTTGAATGCCTTTTTGTAGCACAAAATAAAAATATGTTTTTGTTTTTGCACAGCGGCAAGGCAAGCATTTCCACTTCTGCGGCGTCGCTGGTTTTTTCTTTGAAGCCACACTTTTAGCCTTTTTGTCGCTGTGGCGAACAACATTTCCTATCCTCCTCTCTTCGTAGCAGCCGGCCTTCTGCAAGTCAAACCGCACTTTCTTCCGCTTTTTGGCCTTTTTTTTTGGTTTTCTTCTGGCTTCGCTTTATTTCTGTAATTTTTTACTTTTCTGCTAATTTAGCCTTTGTTGCCTTTTTATCATATTTCCACTGAAGGCATTGCCGGTTTTTGGTTAGTGTTTCATCGCAACTTGTATTTCTGTTTACGCCTCTTTGAAGAGCTTCATATTTGCCCTTAAATCGCAGGAAGACATCTCACTCTCTCGGTGCTACCCATCTCTCTCTTTCTAAACGGAATAATACAAAAATACAGTCGAAGTGACGCTTGCTGACGCTTGTTTTGTTTTAATTAAAAAGTTGTTCTCTTCTCAACCCCCCACGTACGCAATTATCCGTCTGTCAGTCCGTTTGGTCAGCAGTTGCAGTTGGTCACGAGGTTGCAGAATCATGCCCACCAGTTCAGAGTTCAGGTGGTTTTGTATGAGTTTGTTGTATCGGTTAGCTACTAAACTACACACATACACAAGCACACATAGGTAAAGACTGTGTGAGCGTTTGCAAATGGCAGCTAATAATGAGCGCACGAATAGAGGTGCTTTCGTCGCTGCTGGGTGACCTCTAACCACATTGGAGGGGTCTGAATTGCAGCGCTTTTCCGCCGTGTGCGCTCATTTAAATCGGCGAATGCGAAACCAAAAAGTTGCATCTTTTTCCACTATGTTTGCGGTTTCATTTAATTTTGCGGGAACTCAGCTAAGCCAACAGAGATTTGTAAATACATGAATAAAGGTTAGGATATGACCAGCCACAAATGCATTGTAGAAGTTCATAGGTCATAGGTCATTGCAAGACCAAACTTGAACTCGCGTTGGCATAGAAAACCTAAATTACATAAAATACAAATGCGGATGAGTTGCAACCATTATAGTTACAACCAGTATTTGGCCTTAATGACCAATTAAAAGGAATCGCCAGCTGAACTCAAAAGTCTGCATGTAACGAAACTGGAATGCGATGCATTTCAAATATTTTCGAACTTTAAGTCGCAATGTTTCACAATTTGACACATAATTGTAGAGCTGTACCGGTCACCCAAAAAGTTCGCTTCTATGAAAGGGCTGCACTGTTTGGTAATAAGACTTGTTTTGATGGTTGAAAATAAATCGAAAAAAAAATTTTTATGTGGTTGAAGAAATTGTATTGCTATCATAGAAAGGGCAAATGATATAACGCGTCTACCAATAAGGAGGACGTGATTTTGACAGCGCGTGGCGACCATGTTTGTTTACGGATTTGTATCAAATTTTAGTAGTATGTTCATTAGAGTTTGCCATTTCATCATGACATGGTACACATTGGTCTTCAAAGTCAAGATTTGGTCAAGATTATTACCCGAATTCACGTTTTCCGGTGGCTACTGTAATCGAAAAATCATCTTCTCAAATGAGTCCCATTTCTTGCTTAATAGCTTTGTCAACAAACAAAATTGTCGCTATTAGGGTAAGTCAAATCCTCGTGTGGTTCAGGAAATGTAATACCATCCCCAAAAAGTTACCGTTTGGTGGGGATTGTGGTATGGTGGCATCATCTTATTCCTTTCGAAAAGAGGCAGGAAATGCCTTTACCATCAAAAACGGTCATTATCATACGTTGTTGACCGACTTTTTTTCCCAGAATTTGTTGAAATCGATGCGGACGGTCCCTATTTCCTACAAGATGGTGCGCCGCCTTGTCCTCAACGCCAAATATATAATATGTTATTTAATAACAAAAAAGGAAATTCTACAAATACTAGTTTCATATGAAGTCTTTAGGCTGCCTGGTAACGAGTTCGAGTAGGTTGTCATGTATTGGACTTCAGTTATTTTACCCTGAACAGGTAATATTAAATTTGCTGAGAATTTTGTAACACACAGAAGAAAACGTCGGCGACCCTATAAAATATATACATAAATGATCAGCATGATGAGCCAAGTTGATTTAGCCATGTTTTTAAGCTATCGATTTGAAATTGCGCCCATTCTTTTCTCATTAAAAAGCTGGTCATTTGTCGGAAGGACCGATATCGGACCACTAAAGCATATTGCTACCATATTAACTGGACGATCGAAATAAAGTCTTTGGATGGAAAACTTTTTTATTTGACGAGGTATCAGCATGAAATTAGACTCGAGTTATTGTTTAAGGCAACAATGTATTCTCCGTGGAAATTGTTCAGAACGGATCAATATATCATATAGCTGCCATACAAAATGAACGATCGGAATCAAGTTCTTGTAAGGAACCTTTGTATTTGAGAAGGGTTGTTTTTGTCTTATGGACATTTCGTCTGACATTTGTAATTTTGCGTCAGTTTGATTGTTACATAAATCATCATTGAATACCGCCTGCCAATGCTTTCAATATAAATAATTTCAGTAATATAACTTGAAATCATTTACGTTTGTCCATGAAAAAATTTCGAAATTTTAACATTCTCTTAAACTCCAAGCTTGACCAACCCAAAAGTTCTTTGCATTAAATGTCCCTAGAATGAATTATTGAATTTCAGAAATATATTCCACCGCATAATAATGCGTTGAGGCAAAAGTCTTCTCTACCACAAAGTGAAATTAAATCCTTTCTTACGGATTCACTCGCAAAGAAGAAGTTGACAAATCCTTTGGTGAATTCAATTAGAGTTGATGTCTCCTTAAATCCAGACAAATGGAAGGGATAACTTAAAATAAATTAAATTGACCACATTTACTAACGCATAATCATTGCAGATGCTACAGGTAGGCCCCGGGCAGCCCCAACTAGCCTCTTAGTGGGCTGCACAAGGCAACTTGCTCTTGTTGGCTAAGCAAATTACACGGTAATACAAAATTAACCAGAGCTTATTACTGGAGGACAACGTGGAAACCGCGACTGAAATTAAATATACAACAAACAAAGCTCACCGGTAGAAGCCTCGGCGCACATTTACATATTTCATTGGTCCAGTGTGTATGTGGCCAGCATTTGGCCAATGCCACAAACCCAAATAAACAAGAATACACTTACATTTGGCGGCAGCAGCGCAATTCACTTTCATGCCAGTGGCACAAGCATTAAACAAAAGCAATAACAAACCCAACGGAGCAACATAAACTCCAAAAGCGCCAACCGCCGCACGCACGCAGAGAGTGTGTGTAGAGTGGCTGTGCCAGCAAAGGAACCGCAATCGGCAGCACAAAGGAATGGATGACACAATCAAACAGCCAACAACCAAAGCCGAAAAGCTGAATGTGCACCTATACTCACACATGCACATACTACATATGTATGTATATAGGAATATGCGCACGCTAGTAAATCAGGGGCAAGAGCAGGGAATGCCTACCAGTGACACTTTTCGTTTGTAAACAAGACGACCTTTCCTCCTTTGAGCATTTGGGGCAAAGGGGAGCTGGAAACGAGCAGCGGCAGTGTGACGGCCAGCGAAAGCAACGGCAAATGGCGGCAAGCAGAGATAAAAATCCACACCGACTGCCGAAGCGCCAAATTAAATGAATTTTATTTATATGAATTGCGGGAAACATGTGCTTCAACCGCCGCCTCTGCCGCCGCCGCCTCCATAGCAGCTGTGTCACGCTCTCATGTTTACACGCTCGTACACAGGCGCTTGCACACCAACACGGATATACACGCATACACGCGCGGCTGCTGAGTGCTCGCAATTTAAGTGAAACTTTTATTGCTGCAACATTTTCGTTAGCGGCAGCAGAGTGGCTTGCATGGCCCAACGACAAGGCAAAACATGACACAAGTATCCTTGCTTACTCATCATATTAGTAACGATTCGAGTTCGGCTGAAGCACACATTGTGGCTTTTGCGATCCACCACTGCCTCCGCATCTACTTCTGTCGCCGCCGCCGCCGCCGCACCGCCTGCCCATGTGTCTGTGCCCAGCGCAGCTTCACTCGTTCACTACATGAATTTCTAGTGTATTTTAGTTTATGAACATGACATGCCGCCGCAATCCGGCCG